GTGACGGCGGCACGAAGCATGTGAAACATCTTGGACTCCTTTCCTTGGCACACATTTGCCTTTTCTTTCTCCCACCCTCATCTGCTTGCTTAATTCTCCATTACGTAATTTTAACATAGGAGAGCTGCTTCCTGTGCTTTAGCTGGCAGAAAGTTCATTCACATGCAGCTGCAAAGTTGGTGTTTCCTTTTCACAGCTTTCTCACTTTAAAGACCTTGAGAACCACAAAACATTCTGTTGCCTCCACCTCCTTATTTAATTGAAGCATAGTTTAATTAAAGGAAGTTGGAGTTGGAGCCTCTTTGTTAGCTGGGTCATCTTACTCAAACAGGTAACTTAACCAGTTGGACTGCAAAGTGGAAAATGCAAGTGATTGTGTAGCTACATTAAGAAAATTTTAATTTGGTTTTTCATCTGTATTTATTCTCAAGACATATCCTCCAGGCTATCTTAATGAACTCAATCTAGAGGTGGGCAGAAGCACATCTTATCACTTGACAGCCAGCAAGATGGCATGCTATGACTGGCAGACATATCTTGAGCTTGTGTAATTGTCTGATCTTGTCATATGATGACAAATGAAGTGATGATTGTATTCAACAACAAAAAAGTTCAAAGTAGCAGGAAGGCTCTGAATAAATCCACTTGACAGTTTGTCAGCATGGGTTTTTGTTTTTTAGTTTGAATAAATGCAATTTTAGGAAAAAAAACAAAAGTACAACTGTGTAAATTTATAGACAGACTGTCGGTCAGAATTTTTAGCCTAACTTGGAATTTACTTACAGTTGTGGGAGCCAAGTCCCTTCAACAGTAGGTTAAAAAAAACCCAAACCAAACTTCAGTTCTTAACATCATCCAGGTGAGTACGTCCCAAAAGTTTGGTAACTAAAGCTTTGTACACTGGCAAGTGAAAGAGAGAACTTTTGTTGTTCAGAGGTGTTAAAAAACACCTCCACAAAAGACAAAAGTTTTGTCGATGACAAGCACTGGTGTGAACAACGCTAACACCACTCATTGGGGGTGGAAGTTTTTTGCTCTCCTGCCAACAAATAGAGGCTACGCTGCGTGCCTTTTAGCAGCACAGCTGTAGTGGCACAGCTGTGTCGTTAAAAGCTGCGTTGTGTAGACATAGCCTAACTTTTGTATGTTAGCAGTCAAAGTCTGATTTGCACAATGAGCTTATTTAAAGAGAGATATAACAAGGAGGAGGGTATGCAGAAAAATGAAAACCGGGCTGAACATAGTCTTGATTTCAGGCAAATCTGTCTGAAAAAAATAATTCCCTTTTTTCTCCCATTCATCTGTCCACTTTACTGCCTGCTCATATAGATAAATTAAATTCCATAAAAGTTTTACTCTTAGCTTTATTTTATTCAAATGGTAAAATGGGGCAGGTTGAGTAAGAGAAGTTTTATGAAAGAGATTGCATTTCTCTTCCTGATCTAATCATGAAAAACAAGTAGTGTATATAAAGGGAAATAATTTATTTTTAACTTTTGTGTATATTGAACTGTTGCCAAAGAGAATTCCTTTTCTGAAATTGTGAGGTATAGGAAAACTGTTTTTAATGTAATGTCTGGAACTATATGCAGTACAATGATATTTTGGAGGTTTACTTCAGCATTGTGTTGCATCAAAACAGCTGCAAAGTGTAGGGCCAGAAGCTGAATTTTTCAGAGGAAGTGAGGCAACTCATGAGTGTGGTTACCAGTTAACCATGGAAAAAAGAATCTAAAATTCCTTCCCACCTTTTGCTGCTTAAAGTACCACAAATCTGCATTCGGTCATTTTGGGGCACTTACTGTAAAGAAATAGCTGTGAAAGATGCTGATGACAGTGTTAATTAAAACTTGCATCCTTTGCAATTTTTATATCTTGGTATAGGAGAAAAGATTTTCAGCACATAATCACAATCTGTGCTATAGCAGGGAGACAATACAGAATCCCTTCCTTCGCACTTTTCATCCATATTCTCTCTGGATAATTGGTTCAATCCTGGGTTCTCCTATTGGCTTTCTAGGCTCTACACTTTAAATGCTAATGGTGTATTCTGAACAAAAGATAACATGTCTAGGGCAGCTGCCCTGGAGCTCAGAAATGCATTGGGGTGTGTGGTGTTTGTTTTTGTTTTTGCAATAAACAAACACAGTTGGACTTTTAGAATTCACATTTCAAAAGTTAGTTAACACTATTGTTACGATTGACTCCTAATTGTGACTTTTCTTTTCCTAATGCCGAAGCACTCCTCCTCTCAGGGTTCCCTGCCCACTCTGAACTCTAGTGTACAGATGTGGGGACCTGCATGAAAGACCCCCTAAGCATATTTCTACCAGCTTAGGTTCAAACTTCCCCAAGGCACAAAGTCTTTGCGCTTGGATTAAGTAAATGCTGCAACCACCAAGTGATTTAACAACCAATCAGGGAAAGGACCACTTGGAGTTCCTATTTCCCCAAAATATCCCCCCAATATCCCTCAGCCTGTACTTTATCATTTGCATCCACTTAACTGCAGTGACAAAAGTTTTGATTACTCTTTTATTCCTCTTGGCACTTTGAAGCAGCACAACTAAGGCCATGCCTACACTGGAAAGTGTTAGCAAACTTGTTAACTATCATGTTAAATATGGCTTAGTTCCTGTCCACACTAGGTGCTATGACCAGCCATCATGTTTTTGAATATGACCGTGTTTGTCCATAACAAGGGTGAAACCATGTCTGACATTTTAAAATGTGTTAACATGATACTTTCCCAGGGAAGATGTAGTGCGAGGGAGCTGGGTTCCGTTTTGGATAACATCATTTTTGTTAGAACGATTAACTAACTTCAGTTGCAGAACTGACACTGCAGAAAAACCAGCATGACTTGAAGATTCTAGACCAAGTTAGCAGTGTTGGCAGCTATGAAAAACATCTTGTTACTTTCCAAATTGAACATGTTTTCATCTGGAAGTCCTTGGAGAACCAATAAACATGGAGCTCCAAAGCGTTTGTCACTTTTCAGAATAGAAAAGTACTTTGAGGAATACAGATTGCGTTCCCCCTCCCCTCTTTCCACCCTTCCCCCAAAATAATAATTTAGGAATAAAAGGATTGAGAATAGTTGTATGCCAAAATGCAGTGAGTGACTGCAATCTCGGACATTACTTGTTGGGGTTTTTTGTAACTGTTTTGCATCTTAGTTGTAGCAGAAAACTTACTATCCAATTCTATTTAAAATGATTTGGTAACTACATCAGGGCACAAAGGAAGGGAAACATTTTAAAGTACATAGCTGTTGCCAGTGGTAGAAAAGCCTAATATAACACTACTTCATCTCCTTGTGGTGTTAGTCTGTCAGAATGGGATGACAGTAGTTGGTCTTGATAGATGGTTTGTTTTTTTTAAAGGTGTGAAGAAAGAGCCTCTTATTTTACAAATGGAAAGCTCAAGATCTGTGCTAATGGCCCATCTCTACTAGGGCGATCTGTACAAGAGTAATATCTGTCAGTTACACTACCAGGCTGGTCTACATGAGAAAGTTGCACTGGTAGAGCTTAACATATGAATTGAAAGCAGTGCAAAATGGTGTGTGAACAGTCTTCTTTTGGTATTAGGCCTGGTCTACATTTGAAATGTAGATCAGCTTAGTTTTGGCACATGGGGGTGTGAAAAGTACACATTCCTGAGCACTGTAGCTATGCGGACCTAATTCCTGATATAGACATGGCTAGGTCGATGGAAGAATGTTTCTGTCAGCCTAGCTACTGATGTGTGGGGAGGTGGAGCTCCTTCAGTGACTGAAAAACCCCTTCCGTTGCTGTACGAAGTATGTCTGCTGCAGTGCTGTATCACCATAGCTGTGCTTCTGTACCACCCGCAGTGCAGACATGGCCTAAGAGTGACTTATTTAAGTCTAGTTAAACTTGTTGCTAATCAATTTAAGATAATCCAAAGTAAGCCAAGTTTATGCCAGAATAAGAGCATCCACTCTGCCCCTTGTAGGAGTTTAACTAGATCTGTTTTAAAGTTAATACATGTTATCAGTACAACTCTGCTGTATAAACAGGCCCCAAACATCCCCCCTCATTTATTGTGATAAGGTAACTTCTCAGGTTTAAGTGCTTCATTTGTTAATGACAAATACCTTTTCTAGATGGTAAAGGCATTAGAGGTGCCTGGTAAATTTCTAAGATTGTATTGATTTAAAGATTATTGAAATAATCCATTTGCCTTGCTTTAAGATTTGTGTTCCCACATGCTCAGTTTTCAAAATTTAAAACTAAAATGTCTAATCCAGAAACTTTAGCAAAATGTGGACTTAAACACCAAAAGCCTAATAACCCCATTAATTGAATGTAAGTAGTTGCCATTGAAGCTGATGGCTATGATTGCGACCCAGAGGGCTAGTTTAAATTACTCCTTTTTCATTAACGTGGTTAGACATTGAGAAACAAAGATAAACTGAATTTTTCTCTTTTTCCCCTTCTAAGAAAAGAGCACACTATTGGTTTAATCTTGTGTCATATTACTATTACTGCAGTAGGACCCCTAGTCATGGATCAGGATCCTGTTGTGCTAGGTGCTGTACAAACAGAGAACAATAAGATGGTCCCTGCCTCAAAGAGCTTAAAATCTAAGTATAAGGCAAGAGATGACAATTGGGTATAAACACGGGAGCACAAGGAACCAATGAGACAATGGAAGGATTCAAAGAGAGGGTGACATAATCAAAGGGATGGGCTAGGAAAAGGATCTTGCAATCTGGGCTACGTCTAAGTCTTCCCAATTCTTTCAATGTGAAATCTCTGTAAATATGGCCTATTTTATCAATCCACACAGCTATCTTCTTTAAGCTCTCATCTTACTGAGTCTCAGTTTTTGTAACGTCCTTTTCTCAGGCCTTAACAAATGAAGTCTTTCTCCACACGTACCCATTCAGAATGTTTCTGCAAAGATAGATTTCAGAGTGGTAGCTGTGTTAGTCTGTATCAGCAAAAAGAACGAGGAGCACTTGTGGCACCTTAGAGTCTAACAAATTTATTTGAGCATAAGCTTTCGGGGGCTAAAACCCACTTTATCGGATGCATGCAGTGGAAAGTACAGTAGGAAGATATATACGTATATACACAGAGAACATGGGAAAAAATGGGTGTTGTCATACACACTATAACGAGAGTGATCAATTAAGGTGAGCTGTTATCAGCAGGAGAAAAAACCTTTTGTAGTAATAATCAGGATAGCCCATTTCCAACAGTTGATAAGAAGGTGAGAGTAACAGTGGCTGCGGGGGAGAAATAAGCATGGGGAAATAGTTTTACTTTGTGTAATGACCCATCCACTCTGTCTTTATTCAAGCCTACTATAATGGTGTCCAGTTTGCAAATTAATTCCAATTCAGCAGTCTCTCATTGGAGTCTGTTTTTGAAGTTTTTGTTGTTGTAATATTGCGATTTTTAGGTCTGTAATCGAGTGACCAGAGAGATTGAAATGTTCTCCGACTTGTTTTTGAATGTTATAATTCTTGACATCTGATTTGTGTCCGTTCATTTTTTTTATGTAGAGACTGTCCGGTTTGGCCAATGTACATGGCAAGGGCGCATTGCTGGCACATGATGGCATATATCACATCATTAGACCCCGGACCTTGCACATCCCATGCTTCTGTGGCTTCAGAATGTGCTGTAGGAGTTCTGGAATCGCAGTTTAAAAAAAAACCACCTGTTTCTAACCCATATAGTTGGAAAAATGAGCAGAGTGCAAACAAGTGGATTGGTGCCTTCCTGAATCTGCAGACATGATGCTATGTGCACAATAGCTTTCCATCAGGTGCCAATAGAAGAGCAATAAACTCAAGTATGGAAATATTAGAAGAGCAGCGGTGGCAATCCTAGAATTACTCCTATACCCAGATCAGTTCTCCTCTGTCTCAGCCATTGGGCCTCTGTATGGTAGCAGAATGACTCTTGACAGGACATAATCTTTCAGAACTTGACTTGGTAGAGAGGTAAACCACTTCTTTGGTATTCATTCCTTATAGAATGCTGTAGCTTCAAAGTGACTTGTATGTATCAACAAAGCTTCTTAATGCCTACTTTGCTATGTTACTGATGGACCTGGAAAATTAGAGACCAAGCGTAAGTGGGTTGCCCTAGATCTCAAAGTAACTATATAGCAGAGACAAATTAGACCGTGGGAGTTCTTGGCTGTGTGCTAAAGCCATTAGAAAGAATTACCTGTATTTGTAATTAAGGCAGTGTCTTCTATTAGAAAGTGATTGCATATGTGACTCCATTTATGCTAGTTTCACAGCATATTCCAAGAGTATGTCTAGACAGCTGCTGGGAGGTGTGATTCACAGCTCTGCCATGTACATTGGCCAAACTGGACAGTCTCTACGCAAAAGAATAAATGAACACAAATCAGACGTCAAGAATTATAACATTCAAAAACCAGTGGGAGAACACTTCAACTTTCCTGGACACTCAATTACAGACCTAAAAGTGGCAATTCTTCAGCAAAAAAAACTTCAAAAACAGACTCCAATGAAAGACTGCTGAATTGGAATTAATTTGCAAACTGGACACCATTAAATTAGGCTTGAATAAAGACTGGGAGTGGAGGAGTCATTACACTAACTAAAAACTATTTCCTCATACTAATTTTCCCCCTACTGTTACTCACACCTTCTTGTCAACTGTTTGAAATGGGCCATCCTGATTATCACTACAAAAGCTTTTTTTTTCTCTTGATAGCTGATGATAGCCCACCTTAATGGATTGGTCTCGTTAAGAGTTGGTATGGCAACCCCCATTTTTTCATTGTGTGTGTGTGTATACATCTTCCTACTGTATTTTCCATTGCATGCATCTGATGAAGTGGGCTTTAGCCCACAAAAGCTTATGCTCAAATAAAATTGTTAGTCTCTAACGTGCCACAAGTACTTCTAGTTCTTACAGTTCACATAGGCATTCAAGCACTAGCTCTGCTCGAGTTAGTGCACTAAAAATAGCAGCGTAGCTGAGGTAGAATAGGCTGTGGCTTGGGCTAGTCATCTGAGTAAACTCCTGCTCAACCCATGGGTGCATACTCAAGCAGCTATCCTAAGCCACCGCCTGTGCTGTCATGGCCACACTACTATTTTTAGCATGCTCTTCCCCTGAACCTGGGTCCACCTACATGTGTCCAAAGTAGTGTAGGTATGACTTGTTGCTCCTCGGCATAGTTCTCCACATTGGGGGTGCAAGCTGTACTCCTGGATCAAAACACCACTTAATGGCTGATAAGTAGAACCATCACTGGTATTTTTCTCTAGTTTAACCTCAGAATGCTGGATTGAGTGACTAGGGGGAATAAACTGGAATGTGTCTTTTGCAGAGCTGCTCCCTCAAATGTGTATGTATTACTTTCTCTAGTACAGTGTGTAAAGTTTTACGTTGCAAGGAAGAATGAAGTGAGCACAAACATACGGTTGTTCATTTGCAGAACTTTAATAGCATTAAAGAGAAGTGAGGGGCAGGGGACTTCAGTGATTCTGACTATAATCTGCCAGAGAAAATGTTGGCTCAGTATCTGTTGTGGTAATATAGTGTTTCCCTAATTTTGTTTTGAGTTAAACTAAAGCAGGGCCAAGATGAGAACTTTAATTTCTCTCTTTCTACCTCCAGTTCCAAAACACTTCAGCTTCCCCCAGTTTTCCGCTCCCCCTACTAATATTAAAAAACAGTGAGCTGTCGAGGCTTCATCAAACACTCTTGTGGCAATCCGATTTCTAGTCAGTTTGTCAGTGGTGTAGATAGTGGTGCCTGAGCAGAAGGATTTTGCAGTTGTATATGGGACCTGCTAATATTGTGGTAAGGTATCAGTTTAATGCATATTATTTGGTGTGAAGAATGTGCTGGCATTAGTATCTGCCTCGCTGATATTTCACATCTGGATTTACTTCTGGATTTGCAGGCATGAATTCAGAATGTCTGAATTTACGGCTTGGAGGCTCCACTTTTTTTAAAAAAAAATATAAATATGGAAACTGTTACTAGGAAGCTTCTGATATACATTGGGCAACTGAATTAATGAAGATGCTTCACTCCAAAATGTGTGAACGTGCATGCATAAGTTTAAAATATCTAATTCCCTTTGTCAGTTTTGAAATTGGAGGGAGAAGTATCTCTTCACTAAATAAAAGGAATTCCAGGATTTTAGAGGGAAATTCTTACTGCTGAGGATGGTAGGTTTGTTTTTTTGTTTTTGTTTTTTTTAAGGCTACCAGCCTCTACCTTAAAACATCAGCTCTATTCCTGCTCCCCTCCTCTTCAGCCAATTTAAAACTGTGATTAGAGTGAGTGGCTTGACAAATTCTGACAATCCTGTTCCAGTATCATTTTCACAGCTCATTGTGGCTAAGTTGGGTGTTGGAGGGATTTTGGTGTAGGGAGAAAGGAAGAGAGTGAACACAAAATGTTTCAGATCTGGGAGCAGAGGGGAGATGGAGAAGAGAAAATAGAAAAGCAACTGCTTGATCTTAGGGTAAGAATTATAGTTGGTTTTTAGTTAACAATCCAATTAACTATACTCATTTAATTAGATTGGAACCCCAAACATAGAAACACACTTTTGAATTCCCTCTTTCACACTGTGTGGCAGGAGCGAGGATGAAGACATATTTGATGCATATACTAGAGTAGCAGGTATGCCTTTGAAAATGAAAACCCTAGTTCAGGTATCTAAATATGGATTTAGGAGCACAGTTTTAGGTGTCCACATTTGAAAATATTGGCTGTGGTCCTTTTAAAGAAAGCTTTTTGTAAAAATAGGACTTTTTTAAAAACCTGGTGGTCTTGTAATTACCAGTTCCGGTAATTACACTTACTTACCTAAGTTTTCTCTAATTTCAGTTGGTTTTAGGGCCAGATCCTCAGCTAGTGTAAATTGGCATTTGGACTCTAACACTGACATGCCATATTACATCCTCTGAGGGTCTGCCTCATGATATTCTTCACTTTCAGTCCTTAACATATCAAGTAGTGTCACTATACAGCTAAAAAGCTGCTACATTGTAGAGATCTGAGTGATTTATGGGTGTGTAAAAAAGTTTATGAAGCACTTTTGGGATCATTTATGATGAAGGATAATATATAAATTAAATTTACCAAAACTTTTAGCTTAGCATCAGTAAAATTTTACTGTTTAAAAATCAATTAAGTGTAGCAGAAAGGATTAATAGTTGGGTTTTCTCTTCTGTAGTGTTGGTTAATTTATATGCTCCTTCCCAGTAAAGCATGCCCATTCTATGTCTGTTAGTTTGGTCTTCTGCCTCTCTTTAAGAATTTTGGTTGGAGACAGTATTAGTCTTGGGAACCTCTGTTTTCCACATGTCTGTACACCACTTATGAAAAAGCAATCACTGCAACTCATAAATATGTGCTCTGTACCTCGAAAGACATGTAAAACATATTTAAGCTATAAGGCTATATAAACATCAAGCAGTTCTGATGACGACATGCAAACCACCAGGGAGGAGGTTGGCCTGATCTCTTCAGAACCTAGAAATATTTGCATAGTCTTGTTGTTCAGCTATTTTTTTTTAAATGTAATTTAATTTCATGAAAAAATTAAACAAGAGAATCACTTTCTTGAGTTGTGTAATAAAATAGCATCCTGCCTTGTGATCTCTCTCGGTGGGATAAGAGACCCTCTGTCCAGTTTCTTGGGTTAGGGTCTGTCATAAATATAAAGGGCTACCATCCTGATTTTACAGGGGGGATTTATTTATTTCTATTTACTTCTATTTTTTATTAAAAGTCTTCTTGTAAAAAAACTGAATGCTTTTTCATTGTTCTCAGATCCAAGGGTTTGGGTCTGTGGTCACCTATGCAAATTGGTGAGGCTTTTTATCCAACATTTCCCAGGAAAGGGGGGGTGCAAGTGTTGGGAGGATTGTTCATTGTTCTTAAGATCCAAGGGTCTGGGTCTGTAGTCACCTAGGCAAATTGGTGAGGCTTTTTACCAAACCTTGTCCAGGAAGTGGGGTGCAGGGTTTTGGGAAGTATTTTGGGGGGAAGGACGCGTCCAAACAGCTCTTCCCCAGTAACCAGTATTAGTTTGGTGGTGGTAGCGGCCAGTCCAAGGACAACGGGTGTAATATTTTGTACCTTGGGGAAGTTTTGACCTAAGCTGGTAAAGATAAGCTTAGGAGGTTTTTTTCATGCAGGTCCCCACATCTGTACCCTCGAGTTCAGAGTGGGGGAGGAACCTTGACAGGGTCTGATTCTCCACTCCTTTTCAGCTGGTGTGATCATTTTCACCTGTGCAAAGTGGGTGTAAATGATGACTAAGGGTGCAAGGAACAGAGAATCGGGTCCTCCATCTGCTGCAAATGCCTTCCTGTGAATTTTAGCTCCCTTGAGTCTGTTTCTAGAATTGGAGCTTGGTTCTGCTGGAACTAAAAATTGACTTGTTTTGTGGTATTTGTATTTGCTTTGGAATGCAAGTAGTTAAACCCTTTTTTGTAAAAGGGACTGTATCACTAAAAATAGCAGCCATTATACTCTGTAGTGCACCTCTCTCTGAGCAGCGTGCACCAATGAACCCGTGCACTGGAACTGGTTTTGGGAGGAGGAGCAATGTTGGACAGCATATGGAATGAAAGGTGGACACTGTTAGGCTAAAATAAATTATTTGTGGTACAAACAAGACCAAAGATTATTAAAAGAAAAATGTTAAAAATCTAACTTCTCATCCTTTTATGATTGTTTTGCTGAGCTTGGACAACAATGATGGACAGATTAGTTGCACCTGTGTTTCTAATCTTCTTCAGGTTTTTGTACACGAACGCAATGCTGTATTATTTGCATTGCAAACAGCACAGTGGATTTTTTTTTTTTTTTTTTTGGTAAACTTCAACAGAAGCAGGGCAAATCCTCTTCCCTGATCCCCATTCTGATCATCATGGGAACATCAGCATTGTCCACTCCAAATATATTTTTTTAAAAGGCAGCCTCCAAATAATTATAAGATTCGTTTTAAAAATCCATGATTTTGAAGTTCTTATTTACTTTCTGACTCTTGAGGCTTTGGGTACATTCGGGTCACGTTTTCAAGCTTTTCAAGCAACCATGAGGGCTAGAAATGTATGTGTTTATCTGTATGCACGTATCAGATATTTTAAACAGAAGAGGTTCTCATGTATTTACAGGACTCTAGGAACTGAGGCTTTAAAGAAAACACAAATATCATGACTCTCAAAAAAGTCACGAGCTGATAACACTTGGAACATGGCTATTTGCTTGGGGTTATACAAAGGCATATTCTCTCACAATGTGAATTTGGGGCAATGTTTGGCCTGACTGTCCCTCTCTGAGCCTTCTTGTGCTGAAAAGTGCAACTGAATATTTAA